ATAGACTTAGTTACTTATGCTAAAGAAAGGAACTAAAACAATCATAAACAAAGTCATAATTAAAACAATCATAGAGCAAGGACAAGGTATATATCTAGATGATGAATTGTTGCCCCTAAGGTCTCTTTTTAATAAGGTTTGAAAACCCTAAAACTATTTCACAGTTGGGCTTCTCATAAATGAGCACATGCAAGGCCATAAGTACAGTCGTGCATGGGCTGAAAGCACCCTTGTACTTGCTTCTAAGGTCTGGGCGTGTTGACTATTGCAAAGCTCTACTATGCAACTAATTTGGACCCAAAATCCACTTTAAACCCAATTGTGTCCTTCTTATGCTAAACTGGAAAATTAATATATAAATCAATGCAAAATCTAAATAAAATAAAGACCAATAAAAGTGGCCAAAATACAGACTTATCAGTGACATTAGAGAGAAATTATTTAGTAACATTGTTATGCTCTAAAAAGTACTACCTAACAAGTGTACTAAGTAGTTGTAGCAAGTAATAAAATTTAGAATTTTTGAGTTCTGAGTATCATTCTCAGGAATTGGTTCAATTAATTACCACTTCACAAATCAATAACTATTTGAGCTATATGAAATTTGAGAAGTTTTGATGCATTTGAATAACTAAAAAATAAAGTGCAGTACAATATAATAATAACAGTAAAAACATAGTGACGAATTTAGGATTGAGATGATTATGGAATGGAGTTAGAGATTACTTCACCAAAATATCAATTGTAGACTTAAATATGTTCTAAGCTCTTAAGTATTTTTAATTGATAATTGATTTCACTAATTTAATCAAAATTTAGTTCCTTGACTTCATGATTCTAATGTTCAATTAACTATTCTAATTCCTTAGGTATAATTCAATCAAACATTGTATTAGGTATTAGAAATTAATAGATTACAAGGTTATGAATGCTTATTCCTCGGATATTAGTAACCTTGGTATTTAATCCAAAAAATCATCTAAGTTCAATTCAATTGAATAGTTCATCCAATAATTGCATTAAGAAAAGAATTAAATGCTTAATTTAATCAAAATCTTAAGGTTCAGATCCACAATTAAGTTACAATGGAAAATTTAGATGCATAAATCTCTAACAATGGAGAATTAAAAAAACATTACAAAGGAATGAGAGAAAGACAAAGTAAAAGGAGAAAAATTGAAGATGATCTTCATGATTCCAATCTAACTTGATTCCTCAAGAGTGAAAACTTGAAATTCGCCTCCAATCTTCTCTCTTTAGCTCTCCTAAAGTGTGAAAAAAAAAAAGAAGAGAAAAAGCTACTTAAAATCTAAGTTTGAAGCTATTTCTAATTTTTTTCACATTTCTAGCATAATCACTTTTGATGGAAAAAGTGATTACGTGCATAGCTTCTGCAAAACACCCTTTTTAGAACGTTAACTCTTGGTACTGAAAGTAATAACACGTAGCTTAATTTCCACAAATAGGCTTCCGCGTAGCTACTTTAGGTGTTGAAAGTGTCTACGCTCACAACATTTTCCTTGAAAGACCTCTAGAACGTTCACTTTTGATCCAGAAAGTGTTTATGTGCATGCTTTTCTATCCAAAAACCCTTCAAAGTGATTAATTTCACTACTCAAAGTGATTATACGCACTAGAATTTCTCCAAATAGGTTTTGTAGTTGTCACTTTTGATCCCCAAAAGTGACCACGCGCACCATGCACTCTTACTTAAAGCCTATAAAGTTACTACTTGTCTCTCAAAATAGTTATGTGCGGTGTACTGATGCCTCTTATCCTCTGAAGTCTTCCCTCTTTGTGACAAAAGTGTCTACACTCCACTTAATTTATCTTCTAACCTTCTTAAGTGTTCACTTTTTGTGTCCAAAGTGATCACATTCCTCCATATTGACCTCTAAATGTCTTTAACTCATGTGCCTAGGCTCAAAATTTCCTACAAATTTATTTCAACAACAAAATTAGATAAGAATTTTATTAAATCTAAACAATTTGAATTGCTTTAAATAAAATTGAACTTATTTGAACAATTATCATTTTTATGAGTTTTTAACCTTCTTAACTATAATTTTCTATTAAAAAGCTACTAGAAAACTAACTAAAATTCTAGTAAGATATAGATTTATCAAACATTTTTTAAAGTAATCTTTAGGGAGTGTGGTTTTCACTAAACCGCTCTCAGAAGTAGAAATTAGAAAACGGCTCCCATTAAATCACTCTTACAAGTAGACATTAAAGAGTAGTTCAATGCTAATAGCTCTCTATGTATATTATTAGAGAGTAGTTTTTATTAACTGCTTTCCAAATTTGCACTCTATAAACTCATTTTTGGCATTATGAACCCTTATTTCTAATTTTTCAATTTTTAGACTTTGTGCTTATTAGCTTCTTTCAAGTATCTTTTTTCCATTCCGAGTGATGTAATTATTTTCAAACTTCACTTAAAACATCCATATTTTGTCCTCTGAATTTCAATCTTGAAAATACATAATGAATCCATAAATTCAATTAAGAAATATGCATTTAAGTGATTTTTTTTATTTTTAATCATTAAAGAGAAATTAAACAGTTATGCATTATTTTTATATATTTTTAATATTTTGTTCTAAATTTCTATGTGATTAACTCTATAAATCTACTATAATAGTAGATTATTGGACAAGACTAGTTATATAAGAGGGTTCTTTTAATGTTAAAATAAAAGGAATAAATTTTAAGTACAAAATCTAACCATGAATATTTAAAGATTAAAATATAAAATTATTTAAGTGTTTTAAAAATTTACATAACTTTTTTAAATGATTATATGAGTTCTGAAACCATGGTGCAAATCAAAACATAATTAAAAAATTCATTTTGACAAAAAAATAAAAATAAAAACCAAATATGAATTAAAAATGGTTGTATAAATGATTTTCCTTAGAATAAATTTTTGTCTATAAACTTTTGGAAACAAATTTGAATTTCGTTTGACTAAAATATAAAATAATTTTGAAAACGAAAAAATAAATTAAGTTTAGCACTTCAGACATTTTTACTATTTTTAACCAAATTGAAATTAAAATTTTACGTCAATAAAAGATTTATATTTTATGTTATTATGAGTTAAAAAATAATAATTTCAATTAAAATAACATAACAATACTTTAAAAAACTATAACTAAAGTGAAATCCATGTTATTAATATTAAATTAAATTTGATTTGTTTTTCTACAAAAATTAATCATACACGTATAAGAAAATCCAAAATCACACCTTCAACTTAAAACAAAATTGTAATTACAAGTGACACAGTAGTATTAACTGTTGTTGACTGGTCTGCATGATAAATATAAAACTGAACCCCAAGGATATAAGCACCGCCGGTCGTGTTAGAATTTCATATGGTAGAGTCAAATCATATTGCATCTTCTTTTTAAACATTTTATAATTCTTATTTTAAAGGTATAAAATGAGACATTAATTTTATTTTTTTATGAAAAGTGATTAAATAGTTACCAATTAAGGGAAAGGAGTAATTTGAATAGTCAATTACGCACAATTTATGCTTTTTTTAATTCCTTAACGCAGCGCGGCAAATATATACTCACTCATGACTTCAACGTATCCATTTTAGAATTGAACCTCATTATCAATAAGACAAAATATGGTTACAGACTTGACTATGAACCTGATTACTTACCCTCACTTTTAAGACCAAAAACCTGGAATTTATTACACTGTCATTTATGGTCATTTGTTCATACCTGACAAGAAGCATTGTCGCTGAGGGTCTTCGCTATTCTGAACTGTCTATACCAATACTATCTCTCTCTTACTATATATGATTTGGTGTTTTCTTAAAAGTCTCCGTACTTTCCGTAGAAAGCGAACCTCCTATCTATCTATTAAAAATTTAAGATTTAAATAATGCAAAAGGAAATTACAAATTTTCACCTAACAACTAAACAAATATTTTACAGACCCACTTCTATTATTTAAACATTTAAAAATTAATACTGTCTATAATATTATTATATGAAAATATTTTATTATATATATAATTAATGCTTACCTTTTAACTGAGGTAAAATGCATATATCATGAGAGGGAGTAGAAATAATATTTTAAGCATAATTTGCTTTCTCTCTTTCCTCTTTTGATGCCTTTGGGAAGGAGGATCTATGTAAAATTTATATTAAATAATATTGGGAAGTAACTAAATGTATGGGAATAATATTTTTGATAGAAAGACAAGGGGACAACCAAGTTTTAGTTGTCTCGTGCCAAACCCATGTCATTTCCACAGGAAAATACCAAATAAAAAGCGTGATAGTACGCATAACTTTTAAATTTTATGATTACATTGAGCTCTAACTTCTATGAAAATTATCATGAAAAAGGAGGGGAATTTTGTTTAACCGTGAAAATCTCTTATGAGGGCGTATATATCCTTTCAAGATAGATAATTAGAAGAATAAAATAGAAAAAGATAGAAATAATAAATAATTTCGTAGAAAGAGTGTAAGATAGATATAAAATAATTAAATCTAACTATAAAACGTAATATGTGATTCTTTGATCGAAATCACCCAGGTAGAAATCACATGCCATTCACGTGTTCTTAATTAATTTGTGCAAAATGCTAAACTGTGTAACAAACTCATCATTTCGCTTTCCTTTAATTAATAAAAATTACCAAAACAATGAAAAAAAAAGTTGCCAAATAAAACAAATGAATAAAATCCCCGTTTTCACACGGGTTACTCAGAGTGTGGAAGCTCAACAGTCACAAAAACAACGAATTTGACCCGTTGGATGGTGTTGGAACATTGGCCACGTGTCACGAGTCTCACTGATCATTCTTAATCCATTTTATTTTATTATTATTAATTAATTTTTTCTAATTCCTGACCGGTAATAGAGTCCATAAGAACAGCACCCCCCACCCCTTTTCTTCACACACAGTTCATACCATTTCTGATTTATAGCAGCAATCTCTGTCACTCTCTCTCTGATCTTGAATGGAGTTTAACCCAAACCTCTCTGAGAAAACTCCCTTCCGTTCTGGGATTTTCCCGGAAAACCCCTGCATAAAATCAGAGATCCCAATGCCAGAAGAGAACAACACCTTCATGTACCAAAACAATTTCCACCATTTTCAGCATCATCCCCAGAATGGCCCAAACCATCACCACCTTTCCACAGAGGGTCCTTCCTCCATCATCAACCCATTATTCTCTTTGGCCCCATCTTCTGCAAAGCCATCTTCACACAAATCCACTTACCCCAATGAGTTTCTCAAAGGAGGCCTTACTTTAAACCACCACCCAATGGCTTTTGCACCAAACAGCACCAAAGTTGAACCCATGCATGGCTACCCCAACGCCAACAATGGCCTCTGGGACTTTTCCCTGAAACTTCCCCTTCACAGTGGTGCAAGTGCAAGTTCAAGCTCACACCCTCGTGTGGGACCCTCTCTATCACCATCACTTGGATATGGACTGGTGCAAGTGAAGCCTAGGCTTCAAGAAGAACTCTCATGGGTCGCTGGAAATAATGATCGCTTGGACACTGATCGCAAAGCTCTTGTTGTTGACAAGAAGCAACAGAAGCAGCTGGTTCAGAGGAACAGTAATGGCAAAATTCAGCACAGGTTTACCAACATAATCAAAGGCCAATGGACTGCTGAAGAAGACAGGTATAACAAATTGTTCCGAATTTCATGCTCCTTGTCTCTCTCCCTTAATTTATATATATTTTTTTAAATTTAATTTTGTTTTGTTACTAAATCCTTTGCGGTTTCGTGCGATGTTTTTAATGAAAAATTTCCTTTGATTTATCCCGTCTTGAGAGTGAGATTTGTTAATGTTTTGTCCAATTGTTCCACGGCGTTGACAAATGGTGAACGATTTTATATGATTTTGTAGTGTTCTCGTCCAATTGGTGAAGCGCTTCGGGCTCAAAAAATGGTCTCAGATCGCCAGGTTACTGAATGGCAGGGTTGGGAAACAGTGCAGAGAAAGATGGCACAACCATCTCCGGCCAAACATTAGGGTTTCCTCTCTTTCCCTCCGTTTTAACTAGATTTTTTCTCTCTCACGTATACTAAGTAATATCATCTTTAAGCATTTTCTCGATGAGCATCTTTCAGAAATTTTTAATCCTGCCGTTATATTTGTTTAAAATCAAATCTTTCATGTAAAACATATTTATTGAATGAAATGTATAATTATTTAATGAATAAACATGAACCACTTTCTTTTATTTTTAACATATATATTTTACAAAATTGAAACTAACTCACAAATTTGAAATGATGGAAATAAGGTAAAGATAATTTAGAAAAAAAATTACATAATTACTTTCCAGTCTGTGACAATTTTGTCAAAAACGAAAAAAAAAAACTGTTCCATTTTATTTATTGTATATTTTATGCATGACATTATAAATTTATTTTTTGAATATATGTCTGAAATATGAATTAAATTCATTAATATATTATATTAAATCCGTAAATGCATTGAAATCATAAATTTTTTTTGTAACTGACACTGATTTTCTTTTCACACGTGTTTGTATAGTTTCAGCAATATGACTCAACAATTTTTTTAAAATCTATTTTCCCTCTTTATTACGAATTATGTGAAATATATGACCATTTTGGGGCATTTGTTTCTACTTATTTTAAAATAAAACTTTTAAATAGAAAAATATTTTTAAAAGTGTTATAATAGTTAAATAAAGTTTTAAAACATATATATGTGGAGGCACATATGTGTAGTCATTGTTTTGGAACCATAATGAATAATATTGAAAATGGAATGAGAAGTCCTTTATTCATACTATGCACCAAATATATATCTATTTCACATATCCACGAATTGTTAAATTTTGTACGAAAGCAGAAGGACTCATGGAACGAAGAGGAGGACAGAATACTGATTGAAGCTCACATGGAGGTTGGCAACAAATGGGCTGAAATTGCAAGGAGATTGCCTGGGAGGACTGAGAACACCATCAAGAACCATTGGAACGCCACAAAGCGGCGCCAGAGCGCAAAGAGGCACAAGAACAGGCGCAACGGCTCAAAGGGACCGACAACACTGCTTCAAAACTACATCAGGCAAGTCACTGCGAATGAAGAAGCTCAAAAGGAGTTGAAGAAACGCATGAGCAAGACGAGCATGAGGAGTGAGAGTCTCTTCCGGGTTCGGTATGAGAGCTCAGAGGGTGACTTCAGCTCTGAAGATGAAGTTGGGTGGAGTGTGCAGCGCCACGTGGCAAGTGGGGGCTATGTGCCAGTGATGGATGAAGTGGCAAGTGGGTCTGCTGTTGAAGACAGCACAATGGACTATGAGGTTGCAATGGAGATGGTGCCTGAGGTTGAGATGAAGAAGGAAATGGATCTCATGGAGATGATCTATCGAAAGCCTTAAGTTGTATGCCTCAGTGCATGCTTTTGCCTCTCATCAGAGGGCGTTCTCTATGTTTAGTTTCTTCTGTTGCGTTGTGGTTTAGCTTTGATGCCTGTGGATTGGACCTTCTGCCTATGTTTTTCTTTGTGTGTAATTTTCAGTTCGAATGTGGTTTTGCTTAAACTAAAGCCCCATATCATTGTTAAAGACTTGTATGGCTGCAGATTTAGACTGTCTGTCCGAACCTTTTCATATATCTGTGGCATATATGTTAAAATATAGACATTGCATGATATGATGCTCATTTTCTAAAATCTCTTATTGATCTATATATTGTTCAAGTTCGTAAGCTGACGTCAGCTTTTTTTGACAAAATATATTTTTGTGGGTACTCCTTCGATATTCAATAATTTATTATTCATATGGATTAATTTGCTTGATCAGGCAGGATTAATTAGTGAAAAATGCTCAAATAAAGCAATTAACTAAGGTGTTTTAGTCAGGTAACATATCCTTCTCTCCCAAAATTGGTCTTCAATACGGTGCTGATTCGACCAAAGGAACTACTTCGGTTTTACAAACTAGTTAGTTTGATAAACTCATATTTTTGTTCTTTAAATATATGGATTGAAGGTGGAAATTAATTCATCCTTGAAAACCTAAATTTTAACAAATTAAGGTTAAGGATCCCTTGCAAAATCTAAATCTTGTTGAAGAGGAATAATAAATAAACATAATTAATTGCCACAAAATTAAATGTCAAAAATTTAATATCGGCAGGAAAAAGGATGGCAACACATTTTTTAATTATTAATTTAAATTTATTGATAATAATAAGAATTACGTGAGTTTCAATTTTTCTCACTCCTAACTAATATTTTTTTTATATTTTTGTTGCCTTAAATATATTTTAATTAAGAAATAGGAGTATATTAAAAATTGAATTCCTAACAAAAAAATATGTGTTAATCAACACATATTAGTTAAATAGATTAAAGAATAAAACTTGATTATACCACAAAATTAACCCTCCCAATGATTAACTTGTCCCAAATTTTATTTCATAAATTTGAGTGTTTATTGTGACTCTTAAATGTCTATTATTATTATTGTTGTTGTTATTATTATTTTTATTATTCATATTTTAGTTATCTTTATTTCAAAATTATCTTTTTACTCTCATAATTATGTTAATAATAGCGATATTTAAAACAAACATTAGTTAAATTGCCATAGTAATTAACACGTGTTTGAAACAACTATGTTTGAAACATTAGTTAAGAGTGATCCCTTTTAACAATGAATATTTACAAAAATTAAATTATATTTTAAGAGTATTCTTTTATATTATTACAATTATGCTATTTAATTTTATGAATTAACATTAATTAATTAATTAGAATATATTTGAATTATTAATATTATGAAAATTATTTATTTAAAAATTATTGCACATGATCCATTCATATATATTACATTGGACTTTTGTGTGAGTAGTTTGTGATATATTGTACACTTCGTTTTTATGCTTAACAAGAGGCTTTTGATTTTACTAACAAACAGTAATTCCATCTGGCACTGCATGTACATTTATTTCACTTGTGATAGAAGGGAGTTCCTCTCTTACTCTCTTTAACTCTACTTCAAGAACAAAGACAGACCAATCCCTCGTGTCAAGTACACGCTTTCCCACCTTCATATTCTATGTAAATCGTATAGAAAATATGATATAACCTTCCGTCTTAATGTCAATATCCTATCATATGATTAAAACTTCCAACAATTGTTATCGAAATAATAATAAAAAAATTGCAGATTAAAGTTCTTTCCTGTACGTTGGAACAAAAAAGTACTTGTAAATTTGTGAGAATTCAAGAACGCTATTATTTTATAAAGGATATTGTTAATCTAAGTCTTTATAGATAAGGATAAATAGTTAATAATAATAAAATTTTATTAGAAAGAAAAATATTTATTATATTTTTATAACTTCAGTATACTAACTATGTACTTTATTTATAAATATTTAAAAATTCTTTTATAAAAATATTAAAGGGATTTTGTCACAAATTATCTCTAACCTCACATAAAAAAAATTATGCTATTTTGTCAAATCATTTAAGACAATTAAACCTTTTTTGCTTATTATTATATATAGAGAGAGAAAGAAAGAGAGAAAAAGAGAAAGAGAGAGTTCTTATAAACCTTTTCCTCCTCTCAATGTGTTTTAAAATAGGTTTGGACTTCAATTATAGACAAATAACATACGAAATGTCATAATATTTTGTTTGAGTATATGTGAGAGTATTTCGATCACTAACAAATTTACTATATTTTTGGAATTTTTTATTTTTTTTTGTGATTGCTTCTAATATTCTTAATAAATTTGGAAAGAAAAAATTTATATATAAGATTTCACATTAACTTGTGCAAGTAGAATCAAATTGACTTATAGATTGAGACAATTTTGATTCTCTTCTACATAAGTCATGGAGATCTAGTTCAAGTTTTATCATTATCCAATATTACACCTTATAGTTCACTAACCTACAAAATGGTTAATAAAAATTAATTTCTAAATTTTACTTGCAAAACAATTAATAGAAAATTACTTTCTAAATCTTATTTAAAGAAATTAAAATATAATTGACATATAATCTTTGTTTTGGAGAACGATTAACATGTAAAACTACTCTCTAAAGTTAAAAATTGCTTTTAAGAGTGATTTGACATACAATTGTTATCTACATTGATCTTTAGATAGTAGTTCTTGTCTAACTGATCTCTAAAATTATAACAATAAGTGTAACACTCTTACTTTTTATTGCATTTATTTTTAAAATAGAAGAGTTTGGTGTAGTACTTCTCTCTAAAACGAAAAATGTCTCGCTTAAGTGAAACTGTATAACCTAAGCAGGAATGTCTCTGAGGCATTTTTGCTTAAGCGAGATAGTTCTCCCTCAAGTAAGAATTGATAGAAATCACTAAACTATACTCTCACTCAAGTAAGGAGTTCTCTCCCTCTAGCAAGAATGCGTGACAGAGTGGGAGCTCTCTGGAACATTTTTGCTTACGTAAAAATCATCTTATTCAATCAAAAAATATTAGCAGATGTGTAGAAAACTTTGTCTAGTTTATTCACTCAAATGAGAATGGTCTCGCTTAGTCAAAAAAGGATGTCACTCAAGTAAGAATACCTCACTCAAACGAGAATACACAAGTAAAAAAGGTATTTAAGTAACTTTAATGTTTTTAAAAACTTAGGTTGCAAGGCAAGTAACCATTTTTCATTTCACCATCTGTTCTCTCACTTTCTTTCACAGCTAAGACACCTTTGAACTCTAAACCTCTCTCAAATCAGAGTTTGAAAATCTTTTCTACGTAAACTCCAATAAGTTTCTTGGAGATTAAACTTTCAATTTTACTTTTATTTCATCATTTTCTCTCTTCTTAAAAGTTACTCTACTTTGTAATGCTTAGGAAGAATTTGGTCTTTCGGACAACATCTTCCATCAAAGTTTTTGTGTGAATTATCTACTCAAGATAAGAAGAGTTTTATCCTATTATTAAAATGTTGTATACAATCTTTGCTTATGTATGGTTTCTTTGAGTATTGAGATTTAAGATTTAACTCAAGGATTATTTGAATCAAAGTTTTTTAAAAGTGAGGAGAAAATGAGATTTTGGTTATTTGCTTAAGTTAATGAACTAGACGATGTATGCTTAATTATTTCTTGAATGATTAGAATATGATTTTAAAATATGCCATTGAATTGAGTTTGGAAGTGTCCAACTTTCGATGTAACTTATTGAGTGCATGATAAGAGTGGTGAAATCTCAATATGATGAGAAATAAAAGGGTGGAGATTGTATTATAATATCATGACATTGGACATGAACCTGGCCCAAATGCAGATTTTTGGGTCACCCCAAAACCTACAGCCCGAACGCGACCTAGATGCTCTCTTACACCAAGTGCTTGAGAGAGTATATCATTTTGGGCTGTTGATTCAATCTCAGCGTCTGGAGTGACCTGTGAAAGGGTTTCCTACAATAAAGATAAAAATTAACCATTAGGTCATTGTAGGAGAATTCAAAATTAAACTTAACATATTTGAAAATACTAACACATTTGTATTTACTACTTACAAATTCATTGACCATTTTTTTAATTCCTTCGTCATCAATGCTACCTTCTTTATTTACCCTAGCAGCTTTCCAAAGGACATGTCGAGGTACTGAGGTCAAATTAGACCCAGATGTAGCAATCTACACAAAATTAGACCTATTAAAATCCCTCGTTAATAGGTTTAACATAAGACAACACATTAGCATCACATTGTTACATAAGACACAAATATACATACCAAGTCTTGCTCTAACTGAGCATATCCCTTAGCTGACCTCCTATATCTGTATGACATTCCTTCTGCCCTTTGTGCATTAGCCTCATTTTTTTTCTGAAATTAGGCATTCAGAAATGTACCAAATCAATACAAATTGTTATGGTGACAGTAATTTGAAGTAATAATATGTGACATGGTACCTTGAAAGTCTCTGTGCAGCTTTGGTTGACAAAGTCCACCCAGTGATCAGTGACTGTGATGAATCTCTGATACTTCTCCGGAGGATGGGGGACACAATTCCATCTTTATCACAAATATGTTTTCTCAAATGTGTCCAGAATGCACAAAGGTCCCGTCCAGCTAAAGACAGAACAAAATCTTTGTGAACAGAAGCCACGTCAAAAGTTTGCTACATTGGAAACAAAAAACAATATCAGATATGCCTTCTTTGGTAAACCAATATGCAATAACTGAAACGATTCATCTTGTGTACCTTAACTTGCTCCCGAATGTGGTCTTTAACATTTGTAGGGACATTTGTCCAATCAGAATAACTGATTGGCACTGTACTCCTAGTAACAAAGCCAATAAAATGTGCAAACTTTGATCTGTTAGGGTCTATCGGTTGACCCTTTCCATTCCAGCCAACCTATATGCAAATATAAACCATAAAGT